CCCGGCGGCCTCCTCTTCCCCCCCGAGCCGCCTTGTGCTCCGGATCCTGGTCCCGAGTTTGGCCGCGGAACCCCCCATTCAAATCCCTTCCTGCTGTCAGGTGGCCTCCTCTGCCCCCCAGGTTACTTCCGCCGAGCCGGTAATGCCCTGACTTCCAATGTCACCTACGGCCCCCCTGGACTCAGCGAAGCCACAAAGTTTAATGGAACGGAAAAGTCTGGATTGGTTTCACAGGCCTTTTAAAAAGCGAACTTAAAAGTTGCTGGCAACGCATTCCTGCTCAGTCTGCCTGGAGAGTAAGCTTTCTGCGAAGTCTGAGTGACCTGTGTCCTCTTCCGGAGAGCGGCGTAGGGTGGAGAAACCAAGGCAGTGGAATGGTGACTTCCACAGGAGAAGCTTTGGAGAAGTATCTGAAGATGGTCAACGTTTCCTTTATGCTTGGGAATAGAAATCAATTGAGTTTCGTTGGTACTTTTCGACAACCTCTGTGAATATTTCGGTTTAAACTTTAACTTCTTGGAAAAGAGACTTGGTTCGTAGAGAATACTTACAATCAAGAAACTTTTGGGTTGCAGCGTAATTAAAATTGATAAACTGTGGAAGTCATTGGAACTCTTGTTTACATGTGTCAGTCTGAACTCTGCTCCCTTTCTGTGTGGAAGACCCTTTTCTGAGATTGGCCTCAGTTGCTGTCTTGGGGAGCTGCATGAATGTGAAAGCCCACTGACAGTTCTGGAAGACCTTGAACCCTCTTCTGGCAAGGGGTGCCTATCATTGCTTTATGGGGCAGCAGCCTGGAAAAGTTCTTGGGGACCAGAGAAGGCCAAGTTTGCCTGCCCTGCATTTCATCAAAGGAGGAGGGAAAAAGGAATCGTTGAGGCATGGGGGTCCACACTGCAATGTGTTTGTGGAACATGGTGAGTGCTTTTTCAAGATTTCTGGTCATGTTTGTCCTAATGCGTTCAATTTAGGCCATCAAGGAACTTTCTGAAATGACAGTAATTGTTCCTTCCACTTCTGCTTGGCCTTTTTGTTACTGTAGTTGTCTCATAATTTCTGGTGGAACTTGTTCTGTACAAGAAAATGATGGCTTTATTCAAAACTTGTTTGAGTTTCTTATTTTTGGCCTGGTTCCGCTTCTAAGTCACTGTTGGTCTGGGACAAGCCATGTTACTCTTCCTCGGGACGAGTAATTTTTCTTGGGAATTTGGACTTCGCTGGTTTCTTAGGATCCATACATGGTTTGGCACCTGCCCTCAAGTGCCTGTGTGGATGATTTGCCACTTTGTCTACCCAGAATTCTCATCGTATTCTCAAAGTGGTTTGCGCTCTGAAAAAGGCTTAGAACCACAGATTCTGGTTGACACGATACCCTTGACCTTTTCAGGTACTCAGGTAGGAGGACTTGAAAATCGTCACTTTGGAACTATGTGGGGAAGCAGCGTTCCTCCTGAAGGATGCACAGCTTCTAGTTATGTACTCCCCCATGGCGCTTTCACCTTCCTCTTGCCCTGTACGGGATGGCGCCATGCCACCATGACTGGCTGAGATTTTACTTTCTTCTTTTTACTTCAAGCACTGGAGATTAAACCTAGGGCCTTGCACATGCTGCCCAAGTAGTCTACCACTTAGCTGTATCCCCAGCACCTTTTAGTTTATTTCAAGAAAGTTCTCACTAGCCAGGTGCGGTGGCTCATGCCTGTAATCACAGTATATTCCGGGGGCCGAGGCAGGAGGATCACTTCCAGTTCGAGGCCAGCCTGGGCTACATAGTAAGATCTTGTTTAAAAAAAAACCTCAGGTCTCCCTAAGTTGCACAGGCTGGTCTCAAATTTGGCATCCTTCTGTCCCAGGCTCATCAGTAGCTGGGATTATAGGCATGCACCATCATGCCCAGGTGAGGTCTTGCTCCCTTACAGAAAGTATTCACTTCAGCTAATTAAATCTAGTTACCTGGGTTTTACTTACGGTGAAACATTAGTTCTATTTTAGCATTAGTATTAGGCAGGTGAATGCGGTGATTCACTATGATCTTCCCAGATTCAGGATTTGAAAAGGGGAAAAGGGAATTATTTATGTTTTGACTAGTGATGATTATACAGCCTTAGGCAGTAAAGACTGATACAGACTTTTTGGTGAGTTTGGATGAATCTGTCAGAATTTAAAATGTGCATACCAGTCACCTGGTAATCTCAATGGAAAGCTAAAGATCTTATTGGCAACACATACTGCCAACATTTTAGCTTTACAGTGAAAATTAGGTTTTCAGAGAACGTGAATCTGCCACTGTCATCTAGATTGATGTTAATATTTACAGATGTGATACTTTGATATTTTATAATGAAATGTTTTACTTGAGAGACCCGCATAAGTCCAAGAGTCAATATTTTCTAAATGATCAACACATGATATATAATTACTCACAGGTAAAAGGGCCATTCAAAGTACAAAGTGCACTGGTAGACTTTAGTGTAACAGAATACAGAGATGTAATTTTAGTAATTCCCAGCTAGAGAGGCTCAGCTGGGAAAGCAGCATTTGAATAAAGATGCGAAGAAGGGAGAGCACACATAGAAGTGTGGGGCAGAGCATTTCTGGCAGGGGAGATGAGATGCAAAGGCCCTGAGGCAGAATTTGTGGGTTCAAGAACAGCCCAGAAGATCTTGTAGCCGGGGCAGAGAGAGAGGAAAGGAGGGTTGGAGGGGTGGATGGGGCAGATGCCTGGCGAAAAAGAGGGCCTTGTGGTCATTTCAAGGATTTTGACCTGTGTGTGTGTGGGTTGGGAAGCCTGTGGTAAGTTTTGAGATGCACTAGCGAGCGACTGCTGTTGTCTAGGAAGAGCAAGGGAGAAAGCGGGGATTCCACTCTGGGGCCCTTGGAGTGGATGGTGGCAATGGATGGAGGGTCAGGACATAGCCCACTGGATTTGCCCTTGGTCAGACAGCGTTTTAGACTGCATAACTGGAGGAATGAGGTTGCTTTTTACTGAAATGGTAGCTGACATTTTTACCATTGGCCGCAAATACTACCAATGTGTGTTTGTTTTTTTGAGACAGGGCCTCACTGTGTAACCCAGGCTGACCTCAGACTCACTATGATCCTCCTGCCTCAGCCTCCCCAGTGCTGGGATTGTAGCATTTAGGTAGATTGCCCACCTATTTGTTTTCTTTGAAATAGAGGAGTGGAGTTTTGGGGAGAGTACAGGAAGTGAACAGCAGGAGTTCCCTTGTGGGCATGGAGGTGACTGTGTCTGTCAGCTGGGCCCATGCACTTGAGTTCAGGGAAGCAGCCCAGGCTGGAGAGAGAAAGGTGGAGTCTTCAGGTATAGGTGTTTTGTTTTGTTTAGTTTTTGTTTGTTTGTTTGTTTGTTTTTTGAAACAGAGTCTCGCTATGTAGTCCAGACTGGCCTTGAACTCACTATGTAGCCAGGCTGGTCTTAATTTACAGTGATCCTCCTGCCTCAGCCTCCTAATTGCTTGGATCCCCCCCCAGGTGGTATAGGTGTTTAAGGTGTGAGAATGGATGTGTTCACCAGGGAGGAGTCTCCACTTATGTACCTTTCATGTATGTTAAGGCACATTAAGTAGTTCATGAAATTAAAGTGTTACAATTATTTTTTTTGTACAAGAGTAGTTTGAATTTTTTGTGTGACAAAGTTTGCATGGGAATTGCTGTAACTCATCTTTAACTTTTAAACCTTGTTTCTCCAGATTTTTTTCCTACTAGGTCAAAAAGTTACAGATGAAAAAAAAATAGCACAGTATTTCCTGGTTTTTTTTTTTACACAGGGGATTAAACTCGGGATCTTCTGCTTGTGAGGCAGGTGGCTAAATCCCTGGCCCTTTCCTGTTTTTCTTGATAGTGAATTTTTAAATACAAAATCATATTAACTTTAAAATTTTTATGATGCTCTTCTAGTTAATGCTTAAAAGTTTGAAGCTTTTTTAAAAAGTTAATTTTGTATTTTGAGTTACTACATCTACGTCCTGTAAGATATTAGCTGCCAGTCTTACTTATACCAAATGTGTTATTACGAGTTTACCTGACAATGGACCTACGATGCTGTTTCGTACTAGTTGAAAACAAGGGTTGACCGGAGAAACTTGAAAGCAGCAGTAATAGGAACTTGATCCACGGACACTGTTGATTCTGCATTTTAAAGTATGTGAAGTACCCAGGCACACGCATTAGGAGGCAGGAGAAAAGTCACATCATCCGGATTAGTAAAGAGGTTGCTTGGGAGGATTATATCCCATGTACTGATGTGAGGGGCTGACTTGTGAACTGTGGAATTGCAGATCTGGGTGTGTACATTTTTATAGGTGCTTTATAATTTCCCGTAATCGAATGCACTTTCATGAAACCTCGTTGCCCTTTTAAGAACTACACACGTGTAGAAGAAACTGTTTCTTGTGGTAGGTAAAGGAGAATGACCGAAGACGATTCATCCGAGAGTTCCATTTTACCTGGTTTCAGCGAAGCTCCTGTGGGAGAAAGCGATAGGAGTCGGAGGAAGTGTGAGAGCTCTGCGGCCAGCCTGGGCCCCACACGCGGTGCTTAGAAGAGGGCTGCACGGGACGGCGATTCTTGGGTGGGAGGGCGAGGGATATGTTGCCATGTTTGTTACACCCCTAGAAGCGCCTCACCTGGTCCTGGGGAAAAGAGGCTGAGGGTGGGACGCTCCTGCGGGCAGAGGCCCGGTTCTCCCGCAGGCCGCTGGCCCTTTGGCCTGTGGTCTCTCTCTTTGGTAGCTGCGCCCCAGGCTGGGCTCCTGTGTTCAGAAGTCACCTGTCTTTCACCACTTTGTTCTAGCCCTGTGTGTGAGCCTGTGTTGGAGAAAAACGGTGGGAGGAGAGAAGATTGGAGGAGGCTCAGGCTTTCAGACCAGCTCCCCTGCTAGGTGGGAGGGCCGCTCCCCTAATGCGGGAAGGGGAAGGGGCCCCCGGGTCCCAAGATCGTCTCCTCTCCAAAGTGCCGCCAAGTGAGGAGCTTATGGGCCAGGGATTTAGCTCGCGGCACCCGCCCCTGCCTTGCAAGTGCAAGGTCCTGAGTTCGATCCCGGTACTGAGAAAATAAAAGATGCTTATCAGTGGGTCAGCCACTGGCGGGCTAGAGCCCCGTCTCAGGACACCTGAGACCCTTCTTATATACCTGGCCGCCCTCCTTCCGGAGACCGACTTTAGCACGTCTGCTCCGTCGTTTTCTGTAGCTTTTGCCCATTTTACGCTTCCGTGACACAAACGAGCAGGGCCTCACGTTCTGTGCACCGCGTCCTCACGGCTTCCTGTGGGGTGGGGCCTCGCGTAAGCTAACCCACCTCATTCAGCTGCTCAGTGAAAACTTCTTGTTTCGTAAGAATTCTATTAAATGGACTACATAAGAGATTGAGCTAGTTACACATTTACAGAGAATGAGAGGCAGTTACCAGGATTTCTCTTCTTTTTTTTTTTGTTTTTGTTTTTGATACCTGGGATCGAACTCAGGACCTTGCGCTGGCGAGGCGGGCGGTGGCCCTAGGATTTCTTTTCAAGTTTGGTAGTATACTAGGGTTTCTTTCCCAGTGAGTATACTTGTATATGTTTCCTCTTCTCCCTCTTATTTATTGTGTCCAAGTGTATGAGAAGGTGATGGTTTCACTCCGCGGAGCTCTCACTGCAGGGGTAGGAAGTGCATTCACGGCGGAACAGCCACGCCATATCCATTTCTGGAGCGCTTTCATTCCTTAGAGAGACAGCCCGTTTCTGCCTGCCCTGTCTCTCGCTCAGCTCCGACGGACCTTCCACCTCGGAATTTGCGCATCCCGGGAGCCGCAGGCACTAGGGTCTGCCCGGCGCCACTTCCCACAGGAGGGCAGCAGCGCGGGCGCAGCTCTCCGCGCCTTGGCTGGCGCAGTGGACCTTCTGTGCTTTGGCTCCTT